AGGCCATTTCTAGCTCACTAATGAGGAAAAGAAGATTGCCTCGTATGACGTCAAGGTCTCTTGCCAAACTGGCAGGATGAGAATCAAAGCTGAGCTTTCCAGGGAGCATGTGAGCTTTCCATTTCTTGGGATGACTCCTCTCAAACATATATATGTAGATATTTTTGGACTGATTTACCATTTATCTCCAAGTACACTTCTGAGCTGTGACCAGCTTTATTCTCCTCTATCTTCCGTAGTACACTGGTGAATAATACGTCTTGGACGCATCCAGTATCTTTCATCTGGAGATCTTAAGGAGACTTAATGACAACCAAGCTTCATTATTTCTGTTTTGTGTATGAGGAAACTGACTCACAGAAGGTACAGCAATTTTCTCATTCATGCTGAGAGTTATTACCAGAACCATGAATGAAACTTAGGTTGAAACCCTATTTCATAAACCATTAAACCCTGTATCCTTTATAGGAGTGGAGTTTACTATAATAATGACACCTTTGTCTTGAGAATTCATTCCTTTATTCTATGATTAAATCTTGGCTTATGTGGGGCAGAAGCATCTCACTACAATGCCAGCTTGAGTTGTTCTGCAATGCAAAGCATGATGTGAAACGTTGTTGCATGTTTTGGTGATGCTCAGACCATTCAGAGTTTATTGTTTTCATCCTTCCTCCCATTTATTAATTTATTCATTCCATTATCATATAGCTGAGTCCCTATTACGTCATCTGAAAAATGGGCAGAGTAGTATTACCATTAGCAAAAGGCTGTTTTGAGAAGTAAGATAATTTCTATAATGCACATTGTCTAGCACATAGTAAGCCCTTATTCATAATAGGGCTTATTTTAATTAAATAAGTAATTCCAAGTGCCACATGGGAAGACAAAAATGGTTCTTTTGTAGCTCTATTGATAGGTAGTGAGGGTAAGATTGCATCTGAAGGGTGGATTAATTCCTGGGGAAGAGGTTGATCCCTCAAATTAAAAACTGGGACAGAGCAGTTGGGTCTCAGGTAGACCAGAGAGGGGTCGTCTGAGTCTGGACTACGCCAGGAAGGTATTGTTGGGTAGCGGACGTTAAACTGACACAGACTACTTAGAAATGGGGGGGGGGGCGGGGATGAAGAGACAGAGAAAAGAAACACACACAAAACTCAGATGAAATGGGGTGGAGCTTCTAAGTCCTGTACATTTACCTAGTTACGGTAGTATCAAAGCCTTACATACACTAATAGGCCAGCCTGTTTAAATTCCCCATATTCTCTGTTTTTATTTCCCCATTACTCTTCTGACAAAAAACACCAAAACCAAAACTGAATGATAAGCAACAGACTGGAATAAAATATTTGCAAACTAGAACACACATTTTAACATCGTAAGAAGGAACATCCATAATGCATAAAGGGCTCCTATAAACCAATAAGAAAGGCAAATCCGATGGACAGAAGATATAAAGAGGTAATTTCAGAAGAAACAGAGACACAAAATGCTTATCTCTAATATAATGAAGGGAATACAAATGAAAACAAGCTACCATTTTGTTTGCCCATTATATTGGCAAAAATTAAAAAGGCATATGACAGGGAACACTGGCAAATGTAAAGGGATATTGGGAGTTTCTTCTGATAGCGAGAATATAAACTGATGTAGCCTTTTTAAAGAAGGGTTGGACAGTATCTATAACTACTTAAGGTAGGCCTACCTTTTGATACAATTTCAGGTCTAGGAAGCTATGTTATTTAAGTACATACACCTGAGTGCAAAAAATATGAGAATGTCAACTGCCACAACGTTTGAGACCCTGAAGAAATACTAACATCTAACATTTATGAGGGCCAACACTCTTCTAAGCGCTGGGCAGCAGTCGATATAAGGAAACTGAGACAGGCACAGCTAGGGTGTGGAAACAGCAGGATCTTAGCTCAGCCTGTCTCCAGAGTTTGCTCTTAACTATGACGCTCACTAAGAGGGAGAAAATAAGTCTGGTGTATCCATACCATAAAACATAGTACAGCAGTTCAAAAGAATGAGGTAGATCTCCGTTCACAGACATGGAAACCTCTCTAAGATATACTATTAGTTAAGTGGAAAAAAAAAAAAAACAAATTGCAAAGACTATGACATAAGGCCAGATGTGTGGGAAAAATATACATCTGTGTATATATACAAATACATATATATGAGAATAAGATAAAGGCCTCTACTGACAAGAGAACGTGTGTAGCAAGATTTGGGGGTGTAATTTTTTGAGGCGTGTTTTATATATGTGTGGTTTCTTCTAACTTTTACAAGAATGCATTTGTGGATTATTTTGGTAAAAAAGAACTGTTCTGTTGACCAAAAAGAAACTAAAATAAAAAATTAAAAAAAAAAGTTTAACTCCTATCAAGAGCTCAGTCTTCTTTTTTCTTCCATGTAGACAAGGGTGCAGGTCTTGGATAAAAGTCGTCTACAGTGTGGCCATTTCTAGCCTACGTAGAGGGTGCCCGCTATCTATATCTTGCTGAGCACTACCTATTCTTTTCAGATAAGGTTCTCATGACCAGTATTTGGGACCATGACTTCCTGTTGGCCTACCACGCTCCATAAAAATACTTAGCCAGTTATTGAAAAATTATTTTGGCACCCGAGAACCACATGGTGCTCCTTTTGCTTGGCATATTTTATTGTCTTCAGGGAAAAGGATCCATAGTCATGCATTATCTCTTATTTCGCTTCAGTGCATACGCAGAAGTGTCTGGCTCACCTCGTTTTCTTGGTGTGGTTGTGGGGGTATGAATGAGTCACTCAACATACAGATTTAAAGGACTTACCTTTTGACCAGAAGTCAGTGTTATTATCGGAGAGGAAAAGGCTGCATTGGATTGTTCAGGGCCTCTTCCTGCCTAAGTCCAGGGTGCTTTAACACAAAGCGAAAGATGACGGCTGCCAGAAGGTTTACTGATTAAACTGCTACTTTGACAAGGCTAGAGCTTTAGAACTCAGCTGCAGATCTCTGGGAGCTTATCTCTGACATGCCAGTGAGAAAGGTTCTTAAGATTCTCATTACTTAATGGATAGTAGATCACAGCTTTTTTTTTTTTTTTTTTTTTTTTTGGAGTGGTCCATCTATCTCGGTCCAGATTTCCAATTTCTGAAATTCTAATGTTCTTAAGCATCTTTACGGAAAAAAAAAAAATCCTCATTCACTTAAAAAAAAAAAACAAACTGCCTTCTCTTGTCCCTGGTGCTGCTTTTACATAGTTTTTAAGTAGTGTATACAAACTATTTTGTATCTGTTGTTCATCTCACCTTATTTCCAATACATGTTTCACGTACTTGCCAAAATTTCATGCATTTGACGGAAAGCCAGCATACCTGCCAGGACTCTTTCTGTTAATGTGACAGAGCTTGCTCGGATTATTCCCCAGTTGTTGGGACAACTGGGCCCCTTCCCAGGTTTTGGTCTTTATGAACATTCTCTATTAGCCCCGCTATAAATATTTTAATGCAAGTTCTCCCATCCACCCCCCCCCCCCCGCTCTTCCCCCTTGGATTATTTCCTTAGACATCTACTTCCTTAAATGGGTTTACTGGGGCAAAGGGGCTCAATGAACAGTTTTAATAGCTCTTGGCAAGTATTTTTCAGATTGCGCCCTGCGAGGATCGGACCAACGGCACGAGCTGCGAGCCGGCAGGAATGCGGAGGGGCTGCCCCATAACCTGCCCTGCCCTTCTTCCGCCCCCCAAAGGCGAGGAGGAGCTGGAGAGGGCCTGGGCACCGAGGCCTTTTTCTATCACCCTTTTAAGCTCCTCCGCGGAGGGGTGCTTAGGCCCGGGGCCGCGAGAAGACCGCTAGGGACCTGCACAAAGGCTCTCGCAGCCCAACGCTTCTGCCCCGGGGGCGAAGCCGCGCTCCCGAGTCCTCCAGTCCCGGGCGGGGAGTCCGGTGGCCGACCCCGCTGCGCGCCCCCCCCGCCCCCCCCCCCCCCCCCCGGCCCAGGCAGGCCCCTCGCAGGCGCAGAGCCCCGCGGGCGGGGGCAGCGGCCGGCGGTCGCTATTATCCCGGCGCCGGTGATGCAAGGCCCGCATAGCTGCGCGCTGAGTCAGCGGGGGCGGGCCGCCCGCTCCACCCCCCACCTCGCCGACCCCCGGGGCAGGGGCAGGGGCAGGGGCAGGGGCAGGGGCAGGGCGGGGGGAAGCCGGGCCCCGAGGCCGCGGGGTCGCCCTCCCGAGCAGGCGCAGGCGGCCGCGGCGCGCTCCCCCCTCCCCCGGCCGGAGCTCAGGGCCGCCGCGCGCCCGGGAGAACTCGAAGGGGGCGGGGGGGGAGGAAGCGGGGAGGGAACGAGGCTCCAAAAGGAGAGACGCGGCGCGGGACCGACAGGAGGAAACGAAATGAAAAAAAAAAAAAACGAAAAAAAAAAAAAAACATGGAGGCGAGGGGCGGCGGGCGGCGGGCGGCGGGAGCGAGGGCGGGGGCGCACGCGCGTGCGCGCGGGGCGGGGCGGGGCGGGGCGAGCGGGGGCGCGCGCGGGGCGGGGCGGGGCGGGCGGGCGGGGCGCGCGCGGGCGGCCGCGGCCCGAGGGGCTTGTGGGTAGCGGCTGCGCGCGGCCGGAGACGCGGTCCGCGCGGGAGTGTGAGAGGCGAGCGGGCTCGTGGAGCGGGGCTGCCGCGGCGGGCATGGGGGCGGGCTGGCGGCGGCCGTAGCGGCCCGAGCCCGGGTTTTCGGCCTCCCGGAGCGCCGGAGGGCGGGGCGGCGCAGCCCGGCGGTGGCCGCGCCGCTTCCCCCGCTCCCGCCCTCGGAGTCCTGCGGGAGCTCGCGGCGGGCGGACGAGCGGACCGGGCGGCGCGAATCTGACTGAGGGGCGGGGACGCCGTCTGCTCGCCGCCGCCGCCGCCGCCGCCGCCGCCCCCGCCGGGCGACCCCGGGCCCCCGGGGCCGGCGCCGAGAGCCGCAGCCGGCGCGACAGGCGCGCGGTGGGCCCCGGCGGAGCCCCGCCCGGAGCCGGCGGTGCGGGGGGCGGCGCTAGGCCCCGGGGCGCCCCGGGGCCGGAGCGCGGGCGGCGGCGGCATGAGCCGGGCCCCGGCGACCGGGAAAATGCCCGGCGCCCCCGAGGCCGCGCCGGGGGACGGGGCGGGCGCCAGCCGCCAGAGGAAGCTGGAGGCGCTGATCCGGGACCCTCGCTCGCCCATCAACGTGGAGAGCTTGCTGGTAGGTGCCGCCCCGCCCCGCCCCGCCCCGCCCCGCCCCGCCCCGCGTGCCCACCCACCCGTGGGAGGGAGGTCTCGCCCCTCCCGCCCCGCTTCCGGCAGCCGGGCCCGGGTCGGAGGCCGGACACTCGGCGACCGAGTTCCAGCAGTTGGAGACGCGCTGGATTCCTCCGCTCCCACCTCCCGGAGCGGGTGTCACCGCCGCCCGCCGCCCGCCGCCCGCCGCCCGCCGCCCGCGCCCCGGGAGGAAGCACCGGCCCCGCTCCCCGCCGCTCCTGGGCCTGGGGGTGCGGGCGGGGGGCGGGGCGGGCCCTGCAGCCTCCAGGCCAGCGGCACGCGGCGCCGGGCCGTGGGTCCGGGCCGGGGAAACCCGCCGCTCGCCCTCTGGGGAGATGACAAAGAGCCGGGGCCGAGGAATCCGTCCGAGCTGTCGAGGAGAAGGGATCTCTCCTCCTCGCGGTCCGTCCTTCCTCAGGCAGCCCGTGAAAGACCCATGTCCATAGTCAGCACGTACCGGCTGCGCCCTGGCTCTTGATTTAAGAAAAGGAGCAGGTCTTAGAGGCGCACCGTCGAGTTGCCGTGCGTGCGTATTCTCCACGCTCGGCCAAGCCCAGACGATCGTACCTGGGCGTACCGCCCAGGTGCGGCGGGACCGTGTGCCGAGGAGCTGCACGGATGTTTGCAAGAAGGGGGTGTGGATTTTGACCCCGGGGTTGCAGAGGAGGGTGCAGGAGATGCTCTGGGCAAGGAGGTCACTCCGGAGGACTGGAATTTGCGTGGGCGATCCTTGGACCCTTTGGATGTTTTCTCCGCCACAACTCAAATTCTCACTTGAACTCCCCGCTGGGAGAGGCCTGGTGACTGTAAAGCCGAGGAGAACTGCCTCCTCCCTTTCTAGTGATTAACTGACGTTTCCTCCCCAAGTCCTTGGTTATCCTTTGGGGTTTCTGGACTCGCTGGCGGGGTGACTCAGTCCGCGCGGGCTGGCCACGGGGCAGGACCTGGCTGAAGACCGCCTCTCGGTGCAGGAGCGGGACGTGGTGAGGGGCTGCGTCCCGTCCGACGGCCTCGCCCTGGCGTCTCCCCGATCTTCGCGTCAGCGTGTGGTTTGTGTGTTTTCATGGCACCCTGACGCCCTGGTCTGGTCCCTCGTTAGCGCGAAGGGCATGACTTCGCCTAGGCCAAAGCAGAGGCTCCGGGCTTCGCTCCCAGCGTTTCCACTTTGGCATTTTGCTAGCAAAACTTGGACCTAAGGCCAGAAAGTTCAGTTAAAAATAGTAGCGCAAGTATCCATCAGGTTCATATTCAATCCCGGATAGAAGATTTTAAAGACCCATCCATCACTTTCATGTCTTGGGTCTTTCCTCACGTTAATCAGAGTCATTCCGGTCATTCCGAACTTGAACCGAAGCGACTTATACCTGTATTGCGTTCACGCGTTCTGTCTCGTTAGAGTATTTTCTAGACTGTTAAAGTGAAGGCTCTTGTTAAAAGTGCAACGTTAGGGATCCCTGGGTGGCGCAGCGGTTTGGCGCCTGCCTTTGACCCGGGATCGAATCCCACGTCGGGCTCCCGGTGCATGGAGCCTGCTTCTCCCTCTCCCTCTGCCTGTGTCTCTGCCTCTCTCTCTCTCTCTCTCTGTGACTATAATAAAGAAATAAAAATTAAAAAAAAAAGTGCAACATTACACGTTTCAGTCAGCAGTTTGGTCCATTCATTTATTGGGCGCTCAATACAGCCAAGACACTTTACACTGTTATTAAGGTGATGTATTGTTGGTATGAGAGTTGACATTAGATGCCGCTGACCGGACAGATTTTGCTATTCCTGTTTTTAGTTGATTAAATATTATGGTTCTGAGTCGAAGTAAATCTTACCAGGACAAAAATAGTCCTTTACTCTTTTCTTTGGAGCAGTGTTGCAGGGCTTCTATTTCAAATAATGAGCTGAAAAAATTTTAAGACTGTATTATAGTACATTAATTTTAAATTATGTGTATTGCACAAAATAGAATGTTTTTTTGTGGTGACTTTTACATAAAATTTACCACTTTAACCATTTTTTTTTTTACTTTAACCATTTTTAAGCGTACAGTTCAGTGGCATTAATTACCTTCACATTGTTGTGCAGCAACCATCACCACTATTCAGTTCCACAATTTTTTTTTTAATCTTTCCAAATAGACACTCCATGAATTAATCTTTACGAGAATGTTATAAAAACATACTTCCTGGGCAGTCCCGGTGGGGCAGCGGTTTAGCGCCGCCTTCGGCCTAGGGCGTGATCCTGGAGACCCTGAATCGAGTCCCACGTCGGGCTCCCTGCATGGAGCCTGCTTCTTCCTCTGCCTGTGTCTCTGCCTCTCTCTCTCTCTCTCTCTCTCTCTCTCTCTCTCTGTGTCTCTCTATGAATAAAGTCTTTAAAAAAAAAAACATACTTCCTGAAATATTAATGAAATAAGGGCTGGGATCACTTTAAAGATTTGACACCTTACAATTTAGCCTGTACATCACTGATGATTGTTTTACTGCATATGGCACTTCTTTTGGCTTTACTGTAGAAAATAAGTATTTCTTTCTTTAACAGGGAAAACTTAAGTAATATAGTCAAATGAAAACACAGCCATGAGTCTTAATTACTTCTTTCAGGTGCTCAGAAAGTACCACTTAAAATTGTATACTAAGATGACAAAAATATGGAGATGAAATATACCAGAAGTTACTGTATAATTATTCTTAGAAGGTAAAACTCTCTTTGTAGGAAAAAAAATGTTGCATGAGATTACATGCAAAGTGCTTAGCTCAGTGCTTGGTACATAAGTAGTGCTCACTGGTGTGCAGTTACCATAGTTAATTGCTAATTGCTTTAAATTTCCTTTGAAAAGGAGAATGGTTTTATTGGCAACTCTTTCTTGCTCTATAATTTTGAATAAGTAGCATTATAATTTGAATTTACTATCAGAAAAGTGCTAGCAATCATCAAACATAGGTAAGCTGGATTCTAAGACTATGTCAGTGTTAAAAGACCAAAGCTCACTGGTGTGCAGTTACCATAGTTAATTGCTAATTGCTTTAAATTTCCTTTGAAAAGGAGAATGGTTTTATTGGCAACTCTTTCTTGCTCTATAATTTTGAATAAGTAGCATTATAATTTGAATTTACTATCAGAAAAGTGCTAGCAATCATCAAACATAGGTAAGCTGGATTCTAAGACTATGTCAGTGTTAAAAGACCAAATTGTCTTTTTTTCTCTGCAGATGCTCCTTGCTTTACATAGGTCCTTAAATTACTCTGAAGCGAGTGTATCCCTTTTGTGGTTACAGATTGTGGGCTGGTTGGTCTTATTTAAAAATGGAGGATTCATCCCCCCCCTCCTTTAAGATTTATTTATTTATATGAGAGAGAAGAAGAGGAAGGATGGGGGGGGGCGGGTTGGAGAGGGGCAGAGGGAGAGGCAAGAATCCCAAGTAGATTCCCTGCAGAGCACAGAGCCCAACTAGGGGTACATCTTATAACCCTGAGATCACAACCTGAGCCCAAACAGGGGATGCTTAGCCGATTTTGCCACCTGGGTGCCCCTAAAAGAGAGTTTTGGGAGAGGTTTGTTTCTGTCACACTTGTTTTGGAGGAGAGGAACTTCAGTGGTACATTTTTGCAGTGTTTGAAACTTTTTGGTAAACATCCGTGTTTTGTTGTCAAGACTCAGCTTCTCATACTGCTTTCCCAAATAATATGGTAAAAAGAATTGTGCTTTAATATGCTGGAGAGATGTCTTTTCTCCTTCCCTTCCCTTCTCCCTTCCCTTCTCCCTTCCCTTCTCCCTTCCCTTCTCCCTTCCCTTCTCCCTTCCCTTCCTTCCACCCAATATGGGGTTCAAACTCACAACTTTGAGGTAGAGTTGTATGCTTTCCCAACTGAGCCAGCCAGGTGCCTCTGAAGATCTTTCTAAAGAGCTGTGCTTTTGGGTTTTAATGTGTTTTACTAAAAGAGTAAATGGGATTCAGGCTTGAGTAATCTGTTTTCTTTAGACCGGTGTTGATAGGGAAAGGTGATTAAAATTTTATTTATGAATTTCAGTGACTTAGTACAAAATGCTTTTTTTGATTGATTTCATTATACGGATAAACTGTATACACACACATATTTCTTATCACATTGCTTAGATTTCAGCTTAGTACTGGTTATCTGCCTAAAGTAAATTTTTATGTGTTTTTCTCCACTGACAAATAAGTGTATTATAAAGATATACAAGTGAAATAGAAAAAAAAATTGAGAAATTGTTTTATACATGTTTTCCTTTTGTGAAATAAAAGTTGAGCATTTATAGTATAAAGGGGATTACTTTAAAATTTGTGTTTTAATGATTAAAGAAAGTGAATTAGCTAGAAAGGTTTAAAAAAGTAATGCATGGAATTTACTGTTTAGGTAAAGTTGAACCTCTTTGAAAGTACAGGTCCACAGCCCTCACCTACAATTTTGCTATATAAAGAACTCAGAAAACCAAGGTTTTTTTTTTTTAAGATTTTATTTATTTATTCATGAGAGAGAGAGAGAGAGAGAGAGGCAGAGACACAGGTAGAGGGAGAAGTAGGCTCCACACAGGGAACCCAACATGGGACTCGATCCCGGGTCTCCAAGATCATGCCCTGGGCCGAAGGTGACGCTAAACCGCTGAGCCACCTGGGCTGCCTGAAAACCAAGTTTTTGACGACTTACTTGATCATAACATCTGACCTGATCTGGTGTTAGAATATTTATAATCAATGTGTCCCTCTTGATGTAATTGAGATAGCTTTCCTTGGTGAAATATCAAAAAAATAAAAAAAATCAAAGTGTTTGATTTCAGGGTGCTACAGGAGACTTGCAAGAGGGTTTTCAGAGGGCAGCCCCGGTGGCGCAGAGGTTTAGCGCCGCCTGCAGCCCCGGGTGTGATCCTGGAGACCCAGGATCGAGTCCCACATCGGGCTCCCTGCATGGAGCCTGCTTCTCCCTCCGCCTGTGT